TTTTATTCAAAAGGTGAAAAAGTCAGGATTTTTTTATTCAAAAAATAAAATTTAGGACTTTATTAAAAATTCGCCCAAAATATTGGGACTTTTCTGGATATATCCCGGTTGCACATTGGTGAATTGATCAAAACTAAAATTTTCGAATTAATCGCATCTCACGACGTGAGCATTGATGCTCGTGACGTGAGATCAAAACTAAGGTGATTGATCAATTCCACATCAGGTATCAATAATCTCTTTCAAGATTCACGATTGTCAACAAATTTTGGTAATTTTGATCTGATATTCACGTATCATATGAAACCAACCCAGATGAAGATCTTGGGATGAACCGTATGAAGATCTGAGTTCAGATTCAGCATACACACATCTCTTTCTAACACCAAGAATGCAAAATCAGAACCATAATTTACCACATCTCTTTTTAAACTCAAAAAGCCAAACCAGAACCAGGATTTACCAAGAATTCAAACATTGAAATAAATTGAAACTCATCACCTTAACCCACAACTGAAACCCATCACACCTACCTTGAAACCCATCTCCAAACATGATTTTCTTTCAATCACATTTAAGGATACAATAGCAACAAAAAATTAGCCCCAAAATCACATGTATAGTTAGGTATTATTTCGTGAATAGAGATCAAAACGGAAAGAAAAATAGTAACAAGGATATGTGGTCAAGGTAGGTGAAGAGTCCAGTGCATACTTCACTATGTTGAGCTAACATACTACTTGAAGTCACCTTACTTGAAAAATCTGGTGGAGAAGACCTTGTTTAGAAGACTAGCAAAATCTCTATACATTCTCCGTCACAAACTTAAGCGCTTCATCGGCGGTGAACAACAACCGATCATTTTTTCCATTAGTGAAAAGTAAAGCGGCTAGAACACCACCAATTCTTTATCCTGCAACAACGTCAAAGAAATCTTCAATGTAGGCATCTGGGTTTCCAGATTTACAGCGGAGGGATGATTCTAGAGGGGGAATTGATTTGGCAGCTAAGATATCGTCGATGGCTCCACCTCCATCAATGGAGAGAATTCTGATTTTTCCGGTGAGGGATTTGATTTCTTGCGACAAATTGTTGTAACCGAATAAAAAATTGTTTTCGAGAATGAAGAATATATCGAAGGTGAGTTTTTCCATTTGAAAGTTGGCATTGATCATGGAAAGTGTCGTCATTTGAATGTAGGTGGAAGGAGATACAAGGATGAGGAGAAGGAAGATGTGAGGGTGTTATATATTCGAGACGAGTTGGGGGAGGGGGATATGTGGCCCATTTTTATATTTAATAATAATAATAATAACTAGATGCGTTCCAGCGCGTGGCGCTGGTCGGAAATGGTGTTGTGTGGGACGAAATGGTGCATGTGGATTGGAATCAATGTTGAAGTATAACATTATAACAGGAGGATGAAACAACAGACATACATATGAAAGTAGGTTGCTATTTATTGTATTTAACTAAAATTAAATGCAGAAATAACAGATTTACTTGTACTTGAATAAACAACACTCAAACCTATATAATACAAATAATGAAGACGTAAAAGCAAGTTCCTGCAATTCCATTGAATTTGAAATCAACAATCCTGTTATGATGTTGCCTGTGCCTCTGGCTGTAACTGATCAAAAGGGCAAGTTGTAGCTGTGCTGGGAGTCTGTCAACCAAGCAACTATTTTTTATGTGAAATCTGTCTGTGTAATAGCAGCCTAAATGATAAATAATTTTGTTTTCATGTGCCTACCCATTACATTTCCTCAAAAAAATATGCACATAAAATTATATATAACAATAAATACGTTAAAAAAATAATATGGTAAAGTTTGTTATTGAAATAAAGAAGATTACAAAACACAAATAGTCATTATTTACATCTTGAAAATCCTCATGTAAAAGAATACAACCATATAAACAATTTCAAAACATACAAACTTACCAGCAAACACACTGATACAGTGGGCCGCAAATCTATAACCGCCATACCAGAAAACCAAAAAAACAAAAATAAAAACAATGATACTTATAATATTATATCAACATGTAACTTCAAAATATAGAAAAAACAAAAGATTATGATAAATGCTTCACCTATATATCAAGATTCTGACAGCTCACAAGCTCAGTAGAGTCGAAACTCCTCGAAGCAATCACATTCCAGACATGTAGGATTTCGATTGGCAAAGAAAAAACACTTAAGCCATTTATCCAGTTATACAAAACAAATTTACCCACATTTGGGTCCACAACCGCCTTCCAAACTACCTACTTGTCTTGATAAAAAATTTAATATGTTACAGAACCTGAATAACATAAAAGTGAAACTAATCAGCAACCTAAAACCAACATGCCCACAAAATTTATGGCTTAAATTACAATATAAGTATGATTGTTGAAAGAGTGAAACCAAAAAATGACTAATTGAGCATTACACCAACATGGTTGTGTTATCTATATAGTCATCAAAACATTTCATGTACTACAACAGGATAAAGTAAAAGGGTGGTCAAAATTAGAAAAATGGGAAAAAAGAACATCAGATGTTTTTAAAAAAGGGTTGTGAAATCCCACCAGATATTTAAAAAAAATGATCTATGAACATACATGAAGCTCATATACATATGAATCATAATTAAAAGGAAAAATCTTCGCATCTGCAGGTTATAGAGCTACTAAACCCCAAATGCTCGTTGCTGTCATTTTTTTTTAGTTTTTAGTTTTGTAAATAATAAGTTGTATAATAAATTATAATGAAATAACATATCGAATAATGTTAAAACTTAAAACATACCTGCAACATGTCTATGAAACATTGGATAACCAAATTCGTTCATACATTCAAAGTCATCATACATTGAGTGATAAAATGAGTAGCCTACAAGAAACCATTGAAGTAGTTTTCACTTTTCATCAGAATGTATTTACAAAAAAAGGGGAAAAGCTGTTAATTGAAAATATAGTGCTATTTACTGCAATTATAATCAAGAAATGAAAAATAAACCAAATGCCAATGTATTTTGGTTTTTTGGTAAGGAAATTAAAAGAAATTGAAAAAAAAGGTATAAATGCAAAGTGGTTCGAGAAAAAAACAATAAATTACCATGTTTTTTCTTTCTTTCGATCCAAATAAGAGAACAAAAAAACCACTCAAACAACATATCATTTGGAAAAAAAAAGACAGAAGAACAGTTGCATGATCAGTTACCTTTACAAAAATGGGTGAGAATAATTGAGTCAATAATGGTGTCTTTTTTTCCTTTAAATCATCATCAGCCTAAAAGATCATAAGAAATAATGGAATTTAACACCAACATTAATTAAGAACTGAAAAGCATGGAATTAAGTAAAGAAAGGGACATAAGCAACTTCCCATCATGCTCACATATCAACCGGACAGCCAAATAAGTTATCAGTGTGAATGTGACCACCAATTCTATCATGTGATTCCAATTACACCGTCTGTATGATACCATTTTTTTTAATATAATGAAAAGATAAATAAAGCCAAATATGAACATTTTAGCGTTTCATAAGAATCACCTCAAAATCATTATGAAGCATATGAGCAACAACTATCCCTGAAATACTCCTTGCTATCACGATAACAGAAGGTTTGGAAGTATGTCGTCTCTCGATATACGATGCAAACATGAAAAGGGCAATATGGGAATTCTGATCACCAATTTCCGTGACAATTCAAAAAAATTCCCAAAAATTCATCTATCAATTAATAGACAACAGTTTATCCATACAATATTTAATTTGTAAAAAAAAACAGGACCTTACTTTATAGCCCATTTTATCAACCATTTCCTACACCACTTGATACATGGTTGGCCTGAAACAAAACAAAGAACAACAAAATTCAATTAGTCGAGACAACATGATGAAAAGTTAAAAAAAAAAAAAAAAAAAATTCAAATCACCTTGCAAGGTACATCAACCTCAAGATCGAACTTGAATTAATCAAATAAAAATTCATTCATATAAGTTATAAAATAGGGAAGAAAGATTTATTTAACTGTAAATATTTTCCTTTCTTTTGGACATATAGATACAATGTCATGTATATATACATACATGGACTGCTTCACTGGAGAGAGAAAGTGAGTTTTATGTTAACTTACTTATGCTTAATTGGGTCTGAAAACAAAGCCCACTTCCAACTTATTTCAGATAATGTTCTTCTTCTTCATCATTCATCAAATGGAATGTCTACTTTCTTTCAAGAATTTATCACAAAGCGGTTATTTACTGTTAGTTTTAAAACTATGAAAAAACAATTAAAGTATGGAATATTGGCATACTCTTGCACATTATATTAGCTTCTGATAACTCCTGTTGTATGGCACTTGTGATCCTACAAATGAAAGAACCGATAAGTAAAACTACTATAAATCAAGATAAAACAACGATTTTTTTTATCAATAAAGTAACAAATCCACTTCCTGTATTCCATTCAATCCAATTTCACTCCATTCCCTTCACATCCAACAACATCAGTAACCAAAGTCAAGGGTCTCTCATCCATCACTTCATCTATAATCCCAAACTCTTTCGCCTCTTCAGGAGTCATAAAACAATCCCTATCCATATTCTTCCGAATCACATAAACATTTTGTCCAGTATGCTTTGCATAAAGCCCATTCAAAGACTTCCAAACCCTAATAATATGCTTCGTGTGAATGGCCATGTCTTTAGCCTGCCCGCTGTATCCACCGGAAGGTTGATGAATCATGATGGTGGCATTAGGAAGAGATCGCCTTTCACCCTTTGCACCAACAGCCAACAGCAAAGAAGCCATTGATGCAGCTTGACCTAAACATATTGTATTGATAGGAGATCGAATGTATTGCATTGTATCATATATTGCAAGACCTAACACCATCAAATTCACCATTTCCTAAATTAGATCACAGAGAAAATGGTGATAAAACCTAATTTTTGCATAGGTGAAGAAGTAAAATTGACAACCTACCTGCTGTTACTTACCTATTTACATCTTAAAAAGCACATAATTTAAAGCAATTAATATAAAAATTAAAAGAAATAGTATGGTACAGGATGTAATGAGAGTTAAGAACACAAGCCTTTACCTCATGGCAAGAAGAAATTCAAATAAAGTAGAGATGGAAGCGGTCGAGAACCGTTGGGTTTATGGCGTTATCTTTCAGCACATGTCAAAAAACATAAATAACTTCTAAATTTTACATCACCTGGCATCTGATAGCTCAGTCACTCAATGGTTTCTTCTTCCACGTTAGCAAGCATTCCCTGCAATAAACCATAAGAAACATCACCTGGCATCGTAATGAACAAATGTCAACCTCACATTACCTGTCATCGAAATGAACAAATGTCAACCACAATAACAGTGTTAAGGTTATAAACTCGAAATTTGTACGTACCTGACAGAAATACCCAACAAAAACATTTAGAAATATCAAAAAATACATAATAATACACACAAATACAGAAAAATACCCAAAAAGATACATCATTAGCTTAAACCTTACATCTGTA